CCATGTCTGTATAGATGCATTTATTTTTCTTATTGGCTGTATGGTGTTCTATTGAATGTGTAGACTGTCATATATTTAACAAAATGTCCTGTTGATATATGTGTGGGTAATTTATACTCTCACTGTTTTTCTAATTTCCTCCTCTTTCTCATTCACTTAGACATCCAAAGAAATTGGGCAATTATGAGTCAAATTTTTGGTGTATGCTACATTTTTTGGTAAAATTTTTTATTTCTGTTTGAATCAGACTGTATGCCAGGTAACCAAAAGAAGCACCTCTTAGAATGATTTTCTTTAGTGCTTACAGTGATTGTTACCATTATCTGTATTTTGTGGGTGCCTGTCATATTTCCCCCAACTAAGGCTGAATCTTATATTAATTTTTACTCCAGTAGATATAAGAGGGCTTATATTCAGAGGATACCTTCATGTACAACAATTACTTGTATTCCTTCTTCCTTTTGAGCTCTTTTTTAAATTCAGTAATTTTATTTGTACATTTTAGGTAAATAATTATTGGGAATCTGTACCTTTACATAATATATCTTGGTTATTTTTTCCCCCATTCCCTTGCCCTCCCTTCAACCCCTCCACCCCTTAAGTTATATTTTCATTTGTTTTAAGTATTAGTGTCAATTATATTATTTAGATTTCATTTCATATTAATATTACGCTGTAATTCAGTACATCGTCTTACGTTGCGTCTGTCTGGCGGACGATCTTAACCGCGGCTTATTTTGGGGGTAGGGTTTACACTACAAGCATCCTGACAAATCACATCAGTGCTTATTTTCCAGTTAGGTCTTATTTTCGGGGAAACGAGGAGGCCACAAAGGCGTGAGATGCCCCGCTTAAGGTTGCACAGATAACAAGATCCGGCAAGGAGATTGAGGTCGCCTTTGGCGTTTGAGTCTTGGGCAGCGCATCCGCTCTCCTGCTATTGTTTCTCCAGATCAGAGGCGCTGTGTGGGTGTCCCTGGTGCAGCCTTACCCGCTCCCTCGGAGGTGACATTTGCTGGGTCTTTGAGCACCGAACTCGGGAGGAGCTTGCCCTCGCCGCCTGGCACCGTCTTGTGCAGCAGCAGATGCAAGTGCCTTTCCGGAGTTTATCTGGATCCCTCTCAGAGCACCAGTTACCTCCGCCCTTGCGGAGGCCGAGTGAGCTGGGGGAGCCTGTGTGGTGCTGAGTGAATCCACCCCACATCTAGGGACTGAATCTCCTCTGAGTGTTGTTGTGAAGCAGCCGAGGGGCCCGCTTTGTGTGTCGCAGAGCCTGTCTTCCGGGTGGGCAGTGCTGACCCACCTTCTGCTTCTGGCCAACCCCCCCATGGCTACTTGTCCCTTGATCTGTGCCCCGGTGTCCTTCCTTCTGTGGTCCCAGGCAGGACAGTGTGTTTTTCCTGTTATGTCGTGCAGAGGAGTCTGTTGGTGGTGGTAGTGGGGGGCCCTGCCATGTCTTCTGCTTCCATTTCCCCATGCAAATGTCCCTAGCTATGCCAAGCCCCTGCCAAGCTCTGGGGACACAAAGGTAGTAAGTTGGAGTTGCTTCCTCCCCGAAGGAACAGGGCAGAGGAGGAAACACCTCATGTATGAAACCACCTGCTCCCTTGGCCAGAAGGGAGACTGAGGCCCACAGGTGCCACAAGGTCTCCAAGCCTGAATGCAATGCAGGGACGGGACAGACACTGCCCCATCTCACTGCCTGCCCCACAGAACTCTCCTGAAGACGTTTCCAGGAGGAGGAGAGCTGCACACTGCCCTCCTCTTTCCTATCAGCCAATCAGTCTTCAGTTCAAACCCAAAGTACCCCTCTGCCGCAGTGACCCCACAGTAAACTCACTCACCTCTGAGCTTGGATGCTGACTGGCTCCCCTGTCCCCATGAGGGCAGTGACCCTCCAGGAGGAATGTGGAGCAGGAAAGATGTCTCGTCCCCATGGAAGCACAAGTGTGAGCACAGGAGGCACTGGCAGCTGCTCAGTGGATACTGCTTGAATGAGGAAAGAGCAAGTGGAGAGAGGAGGGAGGGAGGGAAGAGGCAGAGAGGAAGGGAAAGCTTGCTGATCTCTCAGCATGGTGGGGAAGCTTGCAAACCCCTTCAATGGGAAGCAGCTGCCCAGTCCTCTTAAGGTTTGCCTTCCTCAGCTCTGGATGCGTTGGGGCTGCAGCCCAGCCCTTCTTCCTCTTGAGGGCTCAGCAACCTTGTGTGTGACTGGAAGAGGAGACGCCTTCCAACTCCAGTGTCATGTGGGCAACAAGACATAGTGGGGTGAACTCCACCATGGCACTGGGAAAAGCTGTTGTCCTGGCATTTTCTGGACAGAGTGGGTCCTCTGATGCTTCTGTCAGGGATGAACGTGATGTCCCAAGCCTGCCCACCAAGAGCCTGCTGTGTCCCCAGGAGGCCATGCAGAGGCCCAGGCTGTCCTTTGGGGATCAGTCAGGGGCAGAGAGAATCTGGTGAGGGTTTGGCAAGTGTTGGCAGACCTTGGGGCCGAGCAGGGAAAGCATGTGAATCCAGCTTTGCAGCGGGAGCCAGGCAGTGGGCAGTGTCCCGGGCATGATTACCAAAGCTAAGCAGAGCCATGTGACATGGCCCCGTGTTTTCAATTACTCTCCCCGTCTTTCCCGCTCTGTGCCAGGCCTGGGGGTTGGCAGCTGCTCTGGGGCCCCGCCTGGCTTCTCCACTGCAGCCCTGCTTGGGTGGTTCTTCCTCTCCGCCCTCTGGTGACAAGTCTTGCTCTGAAAACCTTCTTCACTCAGAGCCAGAAGTTCACCCCTGCCTGGTGTGCTGTCCCTTCTGCCCTGTGACCACAGAAGGGTGGCTTCTCTGGAAAAGCTGATTCTAAACACCTGATGGCACTCACCAGACTCAACCACAAGCAGCCCTGGGATGGGCTGCTTCTCTGGGAGAGCTGTCCCCCTGTGTGCCCAAGTCCTCCCTGTAGCTCATCCCCAATGGTTCCGCTCAGTCTTGTCCTGGAAAATGCCCATGAGTGCCCTGCCCCACTGGGGGAGAAGCTGGAGAAGGGGAGTTGGGTTTGCATTATGGGAATCCACAGGGATTGAACCAGTGCTCAGTGGAACAAGAACATGAGATCCTGGTCCCCGAGAGGAGTAGGACTAGGAAAATTCAAGCTTTGACTGAGGATCAAAGTCGGTCCTCACTTAAGCTTGGAGTGGGATAAAAAACACCCAAAAACTCTCTTGGCCTTGGATGTTATTGTTTTCCATGTCTTATGCTAACTGCATCAGAGAGAAGAACAATTATTCTATTGTCATTTAAAGCCAAAAAAGAGATCTATCGGTTTACATAACCTAATAGTGTGTCTTCAGGCACTGTGGCGTCTAGGTGCTCATTTATAACATCCAGATTGTCCCCTGTGACACTGTCTTCCTCCTTTGCGTTCTCGTCTTCTTTCTCCTCACCCCTGTGCGGCCCCATCAGGCAGCCCTCTCTATGTAGTGAGCCTCCCCACCATTTAGTATCAGAAAAGGGTTTTCCAACAAAATTGACTGTCTTTCAGGTTTTCAAATGGCAAATAGATGCTAGCTGATGACACACACACACACACACACACACACACACACACACACACACACTTGCTTCCCCTCAAGTTCTGGGCTGCTGTGGGGTGTCCTAATGAGCTGATGAAGATGAAGGAATTTGGGGTACATGAACATCTGCAAGGATTCTGGGCTTGGGTGTGACCAGCTGTGGGATTTGAATGTGCACAGTGATGGGAGTGCTGGCAGAGGGGGTGCCGGCAGCGTGGATGTGAAAGGAACCCCTGAAAACCAAGGCTTGAGTGAAGAAGAAACTGCCCCAACGGCGGGCGAGGCTCTGTGCACCCGGCTGGGTCCAAGCAGTGGCACCTGCTTCCAGACCCCGCCGCATGCACACTGCGCCCTCTGGAGGTGGGCTCACTGTCCCGACCAGCAGAGGCAGAAGTGACCCATAGAGCTGGGGCCCTGGAGGGGAGGAAGTGCTCTGGCTGGGGCTTGAGGGATGGTGAGGGCAGAGGCTATGGAGGGAGGGAAGGGTGGCAGTGATGGGGCCTGGAGACACAGCCAGGTTGGAAGGCGGAATAACCATGATGGAGATTCAGCACGGAGGGACAGGCTGGGGTTAACGATGAGAGTGGCAGTGATCTTTGACTGCCCAGAGCCTTCAATGAAGCCTAGCTGTGTGATTTTTCATGGTGGGGGAGACTGACCATGGGGATGGAGGTGAGGCTGTGGGCCTGAGTGGGCAGCAGCCTGTGGTCCCTCAACCTAGAGAGTTTGGTTCCGGGATCGAGGATGGGGTGAGGGTCCTGCAGCAGCCGTGATGGCAGCGTGTGCCCCACAGGGGAAGGCGAGTGCAGTACTTTGGCTGAGCTTTGGCAGGTGCTGGGCAGGTGCTACGCTTTCCTCAAGAGAAGAGGTCTCAGGCGGGACCCCAGCCTTTCAGGTCCTGGGCTCTTGTCTGTGAAGAGGGGACTTGAGATAACACTGTCCTCAGATTCTGGAGTCCCCATAAAGCTCAAGGAGGGGCATAGGGAGGAGTAAGAGGGGACCATGCAGGTGGAGCTAAGTCTTCCCTGTCCTTCCCATCTGCTCTCTGGCCCAAGATCCCCACGACTTTGCTTAAAGGTTGGATTCCAAGTTGAAACCACAAAGTGCTCGATGTCATGACCCCTGTACTCCCTCCTGAGATGCTAATCACAGGATCTTCTGCCAGTGCCTTAAGTTTATAACCCCCCATGCCTCAGTTTCCCTCTCTGAAGCATGAAGCCTTAGACAAGAGACATGTTGGGTTTGATTTCCATGAACCTGAAGTGCAGTGGTGTTGACCACCTTGTGTAACAGCAAACTGGAAGGCTCGTGACCCTGGAGGACGATCTGCCCGTCTGTCCTGCTTCCTGGGCACCGGCACCCAGGCCCAGTTCCCCGACTGTGTCCTGCCCCCCTTGCCAGCAGCAAGTCACGTTGTTTCTTCCCATTTCCTCTCTCCTCCAGGGACTCATGAAGTGGTGGCTAAGCCCAGTTCAGCTGCCTCCCGTCCGCTTAGGGCTAGAGACCAGGAAAGGAAGAAGAGCAGCTTTACTTCCTCTTTGAGGATGGAGCCACACAGCCGTTCTGCAAAGAGCCGAAAATCCACCAAGTTCCGGTCCATCTCCCGCTCCCTGATCCTCTGTAACGCCAGGACCGGGGACGATGGCTCCAGCCCTGATGAGAAGTACCCCGAGCCCTTTGAGACTCTACTGGGCCATGGAGAGGAGGGGAGTTTCCACTCTTCTGTGCAGCTGGCAGACACATCAGAGGCCATACTGACCTTGGAAGCTGCTCAGCTCCAAGCAGCTGGGAATGACCGAGGCAAGAGCTGTAGGAGAATGTTCTTCATGAAGGTATGCTCAAGCTTTGAGGGAGCCTATGGTTGGTGCCTGGGGCTGTGAATTAGCATCTTTACATCCATGTATTCAAAGATCAGGAAGTCAAGGTATTTTAATTTTGAACAACAGCCAGGAAAAAGTTGAGGCAGAGCCTCCTGTAACAGTAACTATGAGCATGGCAGTGAATCAGGCTCAGTCACCACTCTTGTTTGAGAAATGCTGCAAAGCACTTTGTTAGTCCAAGGCACACTGAGCCTAGATCCCTGCTGGGAATCCCAGGTGCAGTGATCCATACATCAGGAAGCTCTCACCTTTGGAGAGGCACAATGGACCCATAACAGGCAGTCAGTTCTCACCTTTCCTGAAGGCCTCCAGACACAGGGCAAGGGCTCTGCTTCCTGAGTGCCACCTGGAACCTTCTCCAGAGGCCCTGTGCCAACCTCAACATAGGCCTGGGTGTGGAGGGTGATGATTGAAGCTATAAGCTGGAGAGAGGGGATGAGGTAGTATTTGGGGACTTGCCAGAATTGAGTGTTTTCTTTCCTGTTGGACTGTATTTCCATTCTTGTCTCTGAAATGGCATTGCCATTTCAGGGTCCTCTTGGATCCAGGCCGATTACAGGATTTCACCCCTCAATTGTTCCCCATGGAGCCCCATGCTTTGTGCCTTCTGTGAAAGAGGGGTCTCTGGACCTAAGACTAGAGTTACCACCATGCACTCAGGGATGGGCTGGCCCTGGGTCTCCCGGAGCCTATACCAGGTCCCGTGGGTGGTCACAGGATTGTGATCAGCAGACAGCCTCAGGAAAGAAAGGGCAAGGACCTTAGAGCAGCTGGCCTTCTTCAGGAGGAGGCCAGTAGCGGTCACACAAACAGCATCAGGTAACCTTGTATGGCACACAGAGGGGAGGCATGCTGATCTTCAGAGCCAAATACCGGGTTTCCCTGAAAATGCCACCTAGATGGAAAATGCAAAGCAGCCTTGAAGACTAGAGATCAGAAATACCAGCCCCAATCAGCCCATCCTGGCCGTACCTGCCCTCACTATTCTCTTGCTCAGTGGTTACTCTGTAAATCACGGAAGGCAAGGATAGGCTGATGAGGTTGGCATTTTTGATATCATGTTTTTGAGGCTTATTGTTTTCCAGCTAGGTCTCATTTGGGGGGAAACAGGGCAGCATCCTCAAAGTCCCCACCCAGACCAGGCCTCTCTGTCACCTACAGGGTGACTCCTAACGATGCAGCCTGAACTCACCTGATGGAGTAGAAGGAGAAGTCAGCATCCTTGTGGGTCTGGGGAGTCCAGCAAGCTTCAGATGGCCAAGAAGGATGAGACACATATACAGCCGAGTCACATTTATGAATGACAACAGGAAGGGACCCAGGGGAGAGAGAGCTCAGATAAATGAAATTCCACAATCATTTCAAGATCCCGGTTGATGATTGAGTGGACTTGCATTTCCTGAGTCCCTACAATGTGTTGGTCAATGTGCAAGAGAGGATGGGGGCAGCAGATGCCCAAGGCAGGGGCGCACAGGTCTGGGGTGGTGCTTTTGTTTATGGAGCTCTGTTGTCCTGGAGGGTGAGCCAAGCAGACTTGTCCCTGCCCTCAGAGGACACAGACATTAGGGACCACCAAATGATATCATATCAAATAATGAGAGGCCAGGAAGAAATAGAAAGCAAGAAGATGAGGAGGAGGTCACTGCTGTCTTGGAAAAGTGACCATGGAGCTTCTGTAAAGACACAGCTTTCCACGGAGGGTATGAATGAGGTGGAGGAGTGCGGCGCCCACCAAGGAGGAGCAATATCACAGGGGCCAGAAGGCTGGAGCACAGCCTACAGAGGACAGGGGAGCAGGCTGGGCCGGAGCAGTTTTATGGCAAGGTCCAGGGACTCCGTGAGAAGGAGGGACACATCAGGATGACATGATCAGAGCTGTTTCAGAAGGAGCAGAGAAAGGGGAGCAGGGCCTGTGCACGGGCTGGAGTGAGAGCCAGATGGTGCAGCATGGGCTGAGAGGGCTGAGGCAGAGGCACTGGGAATGGGGGCTCTGGTTTCTCGGTGAGGCCAAAGGAGGTTGTGAGGGAAGGCTGCAGACTCTGAGGGCAAGAGAGGAGCCTGCTCTAGCTGCACTCTTGGGCTGGGTACCTCGGGGGAGGAAGTATAGTGTTTAGCATGGCTCTGGTAGGGACAGGGGAGGCGGGTTTCTGCTGGTTGACACAGGCTTTTACAAGCAGGGCTGGGTGGCAGAGGAGTCCTGGTGGAGGGAACTGCTGGAGCAGAGATGAAGCCTAAAGCTGGGGACTTGTGCTCAGGCCGAGGGCACAGTGGAGGGTCAGGCTCTGTTCCCACACCTGATGGCCAGCAGCAGGGGAGAGCCATGTGAGGAGGGCCTGGAGTGGGCAGAGGGGATGGAGCGAGGAGTCAGGGATAAATTTCACATTGTCCATCTTTTTGTGATCCTCAGATGCTGCACACTGTGATTTAAAAAAAAAA